GTGGCCTAGTACGAAGAAGAAGCATTCAACTTATTTCCTGGTTAGCCCACCAGAAAAATATCGCTAACAACACATCTGGCCTATGATGGTTGCATGTAATAGGCTGGTTGCCTAAATGGACTTTCTATCAACGCAGATATCTATTAACAGGGATCTCTGCATTGAGGAGAACTTGTTGACGTTCTATGGAATCCATACTCAGCCATACTTCATGATTATGTTTCGAGTTTTTTTTCGGTTAATTTGAGAGGTTCTAAAGAAATTTGCCGAAACAATGATTTGTTGTTGTCGTTCAATGATTTTTCTTCATTTTTGTTGTTTTTCGCATCTACGGGAAATTGATCTCCAATCTTAGGCTCATCATTGTTTAACTCGCTGTTTAACTTCGAACACGAAAAACGTGCCACACATGTCATAATTGTTTGCAACAGACACGCAACTCAAATATGTTAGATAGCTAGAGGCATACACATATGTGAGCATAACATCGGAAACAGTGGTTCACAGAAGGGCATGGATTTTTTATAAAAATATTTTTTTTGGAGGGTCTGCCAATAGGTCTGCCAAATTTTTTAAAGAAAACTTTTTGAGAAGCCCTCAACCAAGGCGTGGATTTTTTAAACAAGACTTTTTGAGAAGCCCTCAACCAAGGCGTGGATTTTTTAAACAAGACTTTTTGAGAAGCCCTCAACCAAGGCGTGGATTTTTAAAGAAGACTTTTTGAGAAGCCCTCAACCAAGGCGTGGATTTTTTAAAGAAGACTTTTTGAGAAGCCCTAAACCAAGGCGTGAATTTTTTAAACAAGACTTTTTGAGAAGCCCTCAACCAAGGCGTGGATTTTTTAAAGAAGACTTTTTGAGAAGCCCTCAACCAAGGCGTGGATTTTTTAAACAAGACTTTTTGAGAAGCCCTCAACCAAGGCGTGGATTTTTTAAACAAGACTTTTTGAGAAGCCCTCAACCAAGGCGTGGATTTTTAAAGAAGACTTTTTGAGAAGCCCTCAACCAAGGCGTGGATTTTTTAAAGAAGACTTTTTGAGAAGCCCTCAACCAAGGCGTGAATTTTTTAAACAAGACTTTTTGAGAAGCCCTCAACCAAGGCGTGGATTTTTTAAACAAGACTTTTTGAGAAGCCCTCAACCAAGGCGTGGATTTTTTAAACAACACTTTTTGAGAAGCCCTCAACCAAGGCGTGGATTTTTTAAACAAGACTTTTTGAGAAGCCCTCAACCAAGGCGTGGATTTTTTAAAGAAGACTTTTTGAGAAGCCCTCAACCACGGCGTGGATTTTTTAAAGAAGACTTTTTGAGAAGCCCTCAACCACGGCGTGGATTTTTTAAAGAAGACTTTTTGAGAAGCCCTCAACCACGACGTGGATTTTTTAAAGAAGACTTTTTGAGAAGCCCTCAACCACGACGTGGATTTTTTAAAGAAGACTTTTTGAGAAGCCCTCAACCTATACAAGGCGTGGATTTTTTAAAGAAGACTTTTTGAGAAGCCCTCAACCTATACAAGGCGTGGATTTTTTAAAGAAGACTTTTTGAGAAGCCCTCAACCTATCCAAGGCGTGGATTTTTTAAAGAAGACTTTTTGAGAAGCCCTCAACCTATACAAGGCGTGGATTTTTTAAAGAAGACTTTTTGAGAAGCCCTCAACCTATACAAGGCGTGGATTTTTTAAAGAAGACTTTTTGAGAAGCCCTCAACCTATCCAAGGCGTGGATTTTTTAAAGAAGACTTTTTGAGAAGCCCTCAACCTATCCAAGGCGTGGATTTTTTAAAGAAGACTTTTTCAGAACCTATCCAAGGCGTGGATTTTTTAAAGAAGACTTTTTCAGAACCTATCCAAGGCGTGGATTTTTTAAAGAAGACTTTTTCAGAACCTATCCAAGGCGTGGATTTTTTAAAGAAGACTTTTTCAGAACCTATCCAAGGCGTGGATTTTTTAAAGAAGACTTTTTCAGAACCTATCCAAGGCGTGGATTTTTTAAAGAAGACTTTTTCAGAACCTATCCAAGGCGTGGATTTTTTAAAGAAGACTTTTTCAGAACCTATCCAAGGCGTGGATTTTTTAAAGAAGACTTTTTCAGAACCTATCCAAGGCGTGGATTTTTTAAAGAAGACTTTTTCAGAACCTATCCAAGGCGTGGATTTTTTAAAGAAGACTTTTTCAGAACCTATCCAAGGCGTGGATTTTTTAAAGAAGACTTTTTCAGAACCTATCCAAGGCGTGGATTTTTTAAAGAAGACTTTTTGAGAAGCACTCAACCAAGCCGGATTTACGATTTTTTAAAGAAGACTTTTTAAGAAGCCCTCAACCAAGGCGTGGATTTTTTATAGGAGACTTTTTGAGAAGCCCTCAACCAAGGCGTGGATTTTTTAAAGAAGACTTTTTGAGAAGCCCTCAACCACGGCGTGGATTTTTTAAAGAAGACTTTTTGAGAAGCCCTCAACCACGACGTGGATTTTTTAAAGAAGACTTTTTGAGAAGCCCTCAACCACGACGTGGATTTTTTAAAGAAGACTTTTTGAGAAGCCCTCAACCTATACAAGGCGTGGATTTTTTAAAGAAGACTTTTTGAGAAGCCCTCAACCTATACAAGGCGTGGATTTTTTAAAGAAGACTTTTTGAGAAGCCCTCAACCTATCCAAGGCGTGGATTTTTTAAAGAAGACTTTTTGAGAAGCCCTCAACCTATACAAGGCGTGGATTTTTTAAAGAAGACTTTTTGAGAAGCCCTCAACCTATACAAGGCGTGGATTTTTTAAAGAAGACTTTTTGAGAAGCCCTCAACCTATCCAAGGCGTGGATTTTTTAAAGAAGACTTTTTGAGAAGCCCTCAACCTATCCAAGGCGTGGATTTTTTAAAGAAGACTTTTTCAGAACCTATCCAAGGCGTGGATTTTTTAAAGAAGACTTTTTCAGAACCTATCCAAGGCGTGGATTTTTTAAAGAAGACTTTTTCAGAACCTATCCAAGGCGTGGATTTTTTAAAGAAGACTTTTTCAGAACCTATCCAAGGCGTGGATTTTTTAAAGAAGACTTTTTCAGAACCTATCCAAGGCGTGGATTTTTTAAAGAAGACTTTTTCAGAACCTATCCAAGGCGTGGATTTTTTAAAGAAGACTTTTTCAGAACCTATCCAAGGCGTGGATTTTTTAAAGAAGACTTTTTGAGAAGCACTCAACCAAGCCGGATTTACGATTTTTTAAAGAAGACTTTTTAAGAAGCCCTCAACCAAGGCGTGGATTTTTTATAGGAGACTTTTTGAGAAGCCCTCAACCAAGGCGTGGATTTTTTAAAGAAGACTTTTTGAGAAGCCCTCAACCAAGGCGTGGATTTTTTATAGGAGACTTTTTGAGAAGCCCTCAACCAAGGCGTGGATTTTTTAAAGAAGACTTTTTGAGAAGCCCTCAACCAAGGCGTGGATTTTTTATAGGAGACTTTTTGAGAAGCCCTCAACCAAGGCGTGGATTTTTTAAAGAAGACTTTTTGAGAAGCCCTCAACCAAGGCTTGGATTTTTTAAAGAACAATTTTTCAAGAGCTGAACAAGGCCTGGATTTTTTAAAGAACAATTTTTCAATGGCTGAACAAGGCCTGGATTTTTTAAAGAACAATTTTTCAAGGGCTGAGCAAGGCCTGGATTTTTTTAAAGAATATTTTTTAAGAGCTGAACAAGGTCGGGATTTTTTAAAGAACAATTTTTCAAGGGCTGAACAATGCCTCGATTTTTTTAAAGAAAATTTTTTAAGAGCTGAACAAGGCCTCGATTTTTTAAAGAACAATTTTTCAATGGCTGAACAAGGCCTGGATTTTTTAAAGAACAAATTTTCGAGGGCTGAACAAAGCCTGGATTTTTTAAAGAACAATTTTTCAAGGGCTGAACAAGGCCTGGATTTTTTAAAGAACAATTTTTCAAGGGCTGAACAAGGCCTTGATTTTTAAATATTTGTGGGTGGCCCACTGTCTTCAGAATATCCGTGGGTGTGTTTATGTGTGATTGTTTTCCTTCTATTATTATTCCGCAAAGAATGAAGACCTTTTGTCCGAACGTACATACCACCCATTACATTCCGAACTAATGTAAAAACACGCACATTTCATAAAAAAATCAACAAAATTAGCGCAAAACGTTTTATTAGCGCCGCTTTACACCAAAGCTATCGGCCTGGTCTTCACTTCTAAATGCAATGGCATTCATTTGCAGCTTAAAAAAACAGCTGTGGCATGCTGCCAATAATGTGTGTCAGCAGCAACACAATGTGGCAGACGGTCGGACAAACTAAACTTCACTAAATTGCGAACATTGGCGGCAACATCTTGAAGTCTCTCACATGTACGGCAATTCGATTTGAAAACAGTAATTTGTTGGTTGTACACCCTCGCACTTTTGGTGCGCTGCTAAGTGGAGGGTAACAAGTTGTTGAAAGCGAAGTTCTGCATAGAGGTGCAACAGAATTTTGTAGAAAGAAAACGTTGCGTTTCATGTGACAATTCTGGGTTACATGTGTAATTCCGAAATTAACAACTTAATTATGGGTGACTTCTAATGGCAGCCTATTAGAATAGGTAAGGGGGTCTTTAGTGATGTAATTCGAATGGTAATTCCGGTCTTTATGATCTAAATTTTTTCACACACAAAAGGAGACACTCAAGAAAATTGTTTTGGTTTTCGAGGTAGGGTATCTCCCCCAGACCACAAAATAGACAAAACACATGTTCCGAATGGTTCTCCTTTCCGTTTCGACATGAACTTGATTGTAAAACCAGCAACACCATCACCCAGGTCCATAACCAAAATGACCGGGTGACCATACTGAAGCCTAGTGACAGGAAACATTCCTTTTTTATGCCTTAGACTGTTTGTCACACTCGTCCAAATGAGGTTAATAAAATCCGACCAATAAAAAAACCGCAAATATTTCCACAAAAACATTTTTTACGAGAAACGGAAAGTTCTTAAAAAAATAATAATTGGCATTGTTGTTATTTTTTACTTACTTGTAGTGCAGCGGCAACCAGCCATCGTACAATTGTAGCTGGCGATCGGGGAATTTGTCTTTCGCCTCACCGAATATATCATTGTCCGGCGGTATATCACCGACAGGCGCCACCTCGTCATTGTTGTATTTGGATTTTGGCAGTGGCATACCCAGCATGCTGGCTGTGGCTAGGTGATTGTCAGCGGCCACTGGACTGTGACCATTTGTGCAGCTGGAAGAGAGAAACAAAAAATGAAGGACAAGTGAGAAAAGAACAAATATTAAAAAACAGATTTTTTTAAATATTTTCTATGCCTATTTATATGCGTGGATATTTTAAAAATATTTTTCTATCTCCATTAATAGGCGTGATTTTTTTAAAAGTTTTTTCCATACCTATTTAAGGGGTGGCGTAGGGGATGATAGATACCAAGCAACGGCTCTGATTGGCTTTAACATGGCGAAGTCCAGACTTATCTTGGTCCCTCTTTCATCTCAATTGTGGACACTGACCTCCCCGTGGTGCCACCTGGGGTAGTTATTTTCATCATCCGTTGAAATAGTGAGCTAATATGTGCCGCGAGCTTACCCATAAGAACTATAAATAAAAAAAATGGGCTGAGGCATCGGGTTAGTTGCACACACTCGGAAAACCGAACCTACTATGAAAAAGCAAAGAAAAAGAAAACCAAACCCCCCTAATGTTGACCACCCCCGCAAACGTATAAAGGACCACGATCTGCGAATCTGCACTTGGAATGTGCGCACGTTGTACAGAACAGGCGCAGTGTTCGATTTGGTGGATGTACTCATGAAGTACAAAGCCGATATTATTGCCATACAGGAAATGCGAGGGAAAGGGAATGGCGTAAGTAAAAACGATGATTACGCCCTGTATTATAGCTGCCATGAAACGAGACGTGAATTTGGCTGCGGATTTATGGTTAACAGGTGAATAAAAGACCTCGTCTCCAGATTCACTGCAGTAGATGAGCGAATTGCTATAATCCGTATAAAAGCGAAGTTCTTCTACAAAAATCTCAGATGAGCAAACCAAAGTCACATTTTACGAATACCTAGAAACAGCATATGACCGCTGCCCTGGCCATGCCATTAAAATTCTGCTAGGAGATTTTAATGCAAAAATCGGAAGGGAAAATATCTTTGGCCCCACTATCGGAAAATTCAGCCATCATGAAGAAACATCCGACAACGGCATGAGGTTGATTGACTTCGCGGCAGCAAAATACATGGTATTTAGCAGCACCAGATTCAAGCATATCGATATACAGAAGGCCACCTGGATTTCCCCTGATCAAGCAACGAGACGGAAGGCATTCATTCATGCCTTCCGTCATTCATCCAGTGTTTTAGACGTCCGTTCGATCCGAGGAGCGAATATCGATTCGGACCATTACCTTGTGGCAGCCATGGTCGCACCCGTCTTAACGTAGCAGCAAAGGTGCGATCTAATGTAACACGGAAATTTGACGTCGAAAAGATGTAAACACAACAGATAGCTGAAGCCTACTCCGCTCAATTTACCCAACTGCTTGACGAAAACACCCCTTGTCCCGATAATAATATAGAATTCAGCAAAAGCAACACTTGGGTACCAAAGACCACCATCAAGAAATCCGTAGTACGATCAGGAGTGTCGTAATGATACTGATATGAAAACGCAGGACAGTAGCAACACGTAATGCGATGGAGAACTATCGGAGAAGGAGAGATGAGAAACGTATTTTCAGGAGAAAGAACAAGAAAAACGTAAGCGTGAGCACATCGAGATGTACAGGAGTCAAAATGAAGTCCGAAAATTCTACCAACGGGTAAAACACCAAACCGAAGGCTTTGGTGCAGGCCCATCCTCCTGCAGAGATGAAGAAGGAAACCTAGTGACAGATACAGATAGCGTGCTGAGGATCTGAAAAACTTCTGGTATAAAAATAGTGGCGGTGAAGAGGATACCCCAGAACCAATAATAGATGACGGTATAGAGTGTGTACCACCTAGCCAAGATGAAGTCAGAATAGCAATCAATCGGCTGAAGAATAATAAAGCAGCAGGTAAGCAAGCCCAACTATTCAAGACTAGTGGCCAGATGCTGAAAAGGAGCATTCACCAGCTGATTAGTACAATTTGGTTAGAGGAATGCATGTTCAATTATTGGAACCTCAGCATTCTCTGTCAAGGGAACAAAAAAGGGGACAAGACGATATGTGCCAACTATAGAGAAATAAGTCTTCCCATCGCATATAAAGTGCTATCTAGTGTGCTGTGTGAACGACTGAAGCCAATGGTCAATGACATCTTCAGACCTGGCAAATCCACCATTGACCAGATTTTCACTCTGCGCTAAATCCTGGAAAAGACCCGCGAAAAACACATCGACTTATTTCACCTATTCGTCGACTATAAAGTCGCATTCGATAGCCCTATCAGTTCAGAGGTGCATAAAGCCATGTGTGCGTTTGGCATTCCTGGATAATGAATTCGGCTATGCAGGATAACTTTAACAGGCATAAGATCAGCAGTCAGAACGGACCTCTTGGAGCCCTTTAATACCGAACGAGGTTTCAGATAAGGTGATAGTTTGTCGTGCGATCTTTTTAACATTCTGCAGGAAAAGGTCCTACGAGAATCAAAGGTTTTCTGTTCACCTTTGATTCTCGTATGACACTCTGAACACCAAACAACATATGTTACTCGCCTACGCCGATGACATCGATATAATGGGTCGAACATTGAGAGCGGTAACAGCCATTTTTTAAAAAAATTGAGAAGGAATCTGCCAAATTGGGTCTGGCAGTAAACGGCGAGAAGACCAAGCTGATTGTATCAACGCGCAAGACGTCCAGTAGACTCGGACCAACTGTGGAACTTGAGAACTACAGCTTTGAGGTGGTCAAAGATTTTATATACCTTGGTACCGCCATAAACAAAACGAATGACATCAGTTTTGAAATTCGGAGAAGGATAGTGATGGCCAACAGATGCTACTATGGTCTGAGCAAACAACTCAAAAGCAAGGCCACCTCCCGCCAGACCAAACTCACACTCTACAAGACGCCGATATTACCCGTACTGTTATGTGGATCTGAAGCATGGGTACTTGCGCAAGCAGATGAGGCAGCTCTTGGAGTGTTTGAGAGAAAAATTCTCCGAAAGATCTATGGGCCGATCTGCGTTGACGTTGACTATCGCCGTCGAATGAACCATGAGTACCAGCTATTCTCGGACATCGACATTATTAAACGTATTGAGCTGCAGCGACTACGTTGGCTAGGTCATGTTGTGATAATGGATGAAGATGCCCCAGCCCAGAAGGCATATAAAAGCGAACCAGTTGATGGTTCACGCGGAAGGGGAAGGCCGCTAAGTGGAAGACAACATTGCCGAATATGGTCTTTCAAATTGGAAAAACTGTGCAAAAGAACACCGCGCCTGGAAATCTTTTTTAAACTCCGCTTATGGAACGAAAGTTCTGTCACAAGCCGGCTAAGTAAGTACGTAAGTATTTATAGGCGTGGATTTGCCAAAAATATTTTCAATAGGCTGGTATTATTTTAATTACTTTGATGAGGAACCACAATGAGGCGTGGATTTTTTAATTTTTTTTTTAATGGAACATCAATAGGCTTGGATTTTTTAAAATGTTTTTTGAGGCTCCACTAACAGCCTTGAATTTCTTAAAATATTTTTTTATTTAATTTTATTTTTTTTTTAAACTTACCCCGTCGTCATTGTTGTCGCCGTTATAAAATATGTTATGCCCACACTAAAGATGAGTATCAATAAGGCAATAATAAACGAGCATACGGCACACATTTTCGATACAAATATACCCGATGGCCGGCCATTGAAGACATATTTTTGGCCATTTTTTGTTTTCAGTTGCCCTCCTGAAAATAAACAGAAAAAAAACAAAATTTTTTATGAGAAACAGAAAATTTTTTTAAAACAAATGTGATTTTGGTCAATTGAAAACTCATAATTCATAATTTAAATCAATTGTGACGATGTCATAGCTGTTTACAGTTTTGAGTTGAATTTTATGATTTTGCCATTTATTTAATATTTTTATGACCAACATTCTGCATGTTGTTTTTGCATTATTCTCGATGGCGTCAAGTGGTCAGAGTAACTCTATTTAATTTAGTTGTTGTTGTTTTTTTGAGAGTGAAGTTTTATTAGAAATTTATAGGCTTGTCTTAGCGTGTGAACCCATAATTTAGTAGTTTTTATTTGAGAATATCATTGTCTGCTTGTTTCAATCAGAAAGCCCATCTAAACTAGAAATAAAATTTTATAAACCAAGAGAAATGCATTTTTTAATTGAGTGCAGCGATAAAAAATACATTTTAATTGTTTTAAGACTTTCAAGTTTGAATTTCTTGGAATTTGTAAGATAAATTAGAAACTTAAAATGTTACTTAAGAAAGTTATAAAAAATAATTAAATTTCAAAAACATCCAAAATGGATTTCAAAAACTGAAAAAATATTTTTTTTTAAAAATTGTTGATGGCCTCTCAAAAAAATATTTTTTAAAAAATCCACGCCTATAGGCAGGAATTCTATTTTTTAATCCACGCCTATAAATAGACTTCGAAAAATATTTTTTAAAATTCCACGCCTATAAAAAATCCTCTAAAAATATATAAGAAAAGTAGTAAAGTCGGACGGGGCCGGCTATATGATACCCTTCACCACATTGGGTATATTCAACAGATGGCATCCTAACAGACGTCGCATTTTTGAAGGACCATTAACATAAAATTAAACATGTCGCTTTGCAACCTATACTAAATTTTGGTCAGATATAGAGTTCCTTCTTACAATGGGACAAAATTATCTAAATTAATTTAAGGCTTTGGTGCAGGCACATCCTCCTGTAGAGATGAAGAAGGAAACCTGGTGACAGATACAGACAGCGTGATGAGGAACTGGAAGGAGCATTTCGAAAAGCTTCTAGTATCAAATAATGGCGATGAAGAAGATACCGCGGAACCAATAAGAGATGATGGTATAGAGTGTATACCACCTAGCCAAGATGAGGTCATAAAAGCAATTAATCGGCTCAAGAACAACAATGCAGCAGGAGCCGATGGGTTACCAGCCGAACTATTCAAGACTGGTGGCCAGATGCTGGTCAGGAGCATGCGCCAGCTGATTAGCACAATTTGGCTAGATGAATACATGCCCAATGATTGGAACCTCAGCATTCTGTGTCCCGTGCACAAAAAAGGAGACAAGACGATATGTGCCAACTATAGAGGAATAAGTCTCCTTCCCATCGCATATAAAGTGTTATCCAGTGTGCTGTGTGAACGATTGAAGCCAATGCTCTATGACATCATCGGACCATACCAATGCGGCTTCAGATCTGGCAAATCCACCATTGACCAGATTTTCACTCTGCGCCAAATTCTGGAAAAGACCCACGAAAAGCACATCGACACACACCACCTATTTGTCGACTATAAAGCCGCATTCGACAGCCCTATCCGTTCAGAGGTGTTAAAAGCCATGTCTGCGTTCGGCATTCCTGCAAAATTAAAACGGCTTTGCAGGAGAACTTTAAGTGGCACAAGGTCAGCAGTTAAAGTAGGAAAGGACCTATCGGAGCACTTCAATACCGAACGAGGATTCAGACAAGGTGACAGTTTGTCGTGTGATCTTTTTAACATCCTACTGGAAAAGGTCATACGAGACGCAAAGGTGAACAGAAATGGCACTCTGTATACCAAATAACACATGTTACTCGCCTACGCCGATGACATCGATATAATGGGTCGAACATTGCGAGCGGTAACAGCCACCTTTGAACAAATTGAAAATAAGTCTGCCAAAGCGGGTCTGGCAGTAAACGGCGAGAGGACCAAGCTGATGATATCAACGCGCAAGACGTCCAGTAGACTCGGACCAACTGTGGAACTTGAGAACTACAGCTTCAAGGTAGTTAAAGACATTATATACCTTCGGAGAAGGATTGTGTTGGCCAACAGATGCTACTATGGTCTAAGTAAGCAGTTTAGAAACAAGGCCACCTCCCGTCAGACCAAACTCACACTTTACAAGACGCTGATACTACCCGTGCTATTATATGGATCGGAAGCATGGGTACTTGCGCAAGCAGATGAGGCAGCTCTTGGGGTGTTTGAGAGAAAAATCCTCCGAAAGATCTACTGGCCGATCTGCGTCGACGGTGAATATCGGCGTCGAATGTACCACGAGCTTTACAATTTTTACGCGGACATCGACATAGTCAGTCGTATTGAGCTGCAGCGACTACGGTGGCTAGGCCATGTTGTGCGGATGAATGAAAATGCCCCAAATGTCGAACATATATATGTGAGCTATATCTAAATCTGAACCGATTTTAACGAAATTTAACACACATCTTTCTAGACTTAATTCAGTATGCTATGCCAAATTTTTTTGCAAATCGAAGGATAAATAGGGACTTTAGTGCTCCATTTACAAAAAATCGGACGAAAATATATATGGAGCTATATCTAAATCTGAAGCGAAAATATATATGGTTGCTATATCTAAATCTGAACCGACTTCCAAGAAATTTTACACACATTATTCTAGACTCAATTTAGCACGCTATGCAAAATTTCGTGCAAATCGAAGGATATATAGGGGCTTTGTTGCACCATTTACATTAAACCGGACGAAAATATATATGGGAGCTATATCTAAATCTGAACCGATTTTTCCGAATTTCAATAGGGTTCGTCCGTGGGCCAAATAAATGACCTCTGCCAAATTTCATCCAATTCGAATTAAAAATGCGACCTGTGACACTTTGTTTACAATTTAACATGGACTAACGGACGGACGGACATGCATAAATCGACTTAGAAAGTGATTCTATGTATATTCGCAAAAGGAACCATGGGTCTATCTCGTTTCCTTTTGCCTATTACAAACATATGCACAAAGACATAATACCCAGTAACACAGTGTGGTGAAGGGTATAAAAATCCAACCGAATTCATACGACCTTCATCTTTGTCTCCTTTACTTCCCATACCTCTTCTCTTAGAAAGGTACCCTCCCTTTCAAATTAATTCCACACTAAAAAAGTGTTTTGTCATCTTAATCGGGGAAAAATTAAAATGCGTCAATTTGTTCAGCTTCTGTGTTTCCCAGAAACACACAGAGAAAGAGTTCGGTCCGGCCGTCCGGCATTTTTTTTTTTGTGTACGGGATTTAATTTAATGGCGTCGCACACTTAACGAGCGAACAACTGCAGCTATTATTCCCTCAATGAAATGCAAAACAATTAACCCATTTTGTAGTTGGTGTTGTTTTTTTTTTGTTTCCTATCATACACCATGGGATTGTCTTCTTCTACTTCGTCTTCTTTATGTGTCCACTTAAGATCACTTTAATTTAGGCCATAAGTACCCAAATACTGTAAACTCTCGAGAAAGGCAGAAAAACAAAGTCATAAATGTCCCCATCCATTGCTAGGCCGATTCGCTCATGCGGTGGTTGTTGCCTGCCTTCATGTCTTCTTACAATTCTTCAGAATCTGATCAAATTATACAAGTCACTGATTCGAGTTGTTGTTGTTGTTCCTGTTGTTAAGCCACGAGCAACAGACTCTGAAGAGTCAATTCTTGGTTCTTTGTATGATTCCATCATGTATGTATGTTGGCTTCACATGAATTTTATGCTAAACACGTGGGCACCTTGCCATACGTGCCTACTTCGTGAATTCAGAAAAGAATCGGCATACAATGAAGGCATGGGTACTTTCAGCGGTAGGGATGACGAGTGAATTTTTATACTCTTCACCACGTTGTGGTACAGGGTATTATGTCTTTGTCTATATGTTTGTAACAGGCAAAAGGAAACGAGATATCTACATGGTTCCATTTGAGAATATGTATAGAATCACTTTCTAAGTCGATTTATGCATGCCCGTTCGCCCGTCCGTCTGTCCATGTAAAATTGGAAACAAAGTACAGGTCGCATTTCTGATTCGAATTGGATGAAATTTGGCACAGCTCATTTATTTGGCCCAGGGACGAACCCTATTGACATTGGGAAAAATAGGTTCAGATTTAGATATAGCTCCCATATATATTTTCGGCCGATTTAATGTAAATGGTTCACCAGAGTCCCTATATATCCTTCGATTTGTACGAAATTTGGCATAGCGTATTGGATTGAGTCTAGAATGATGTGTGTAAAATTTCTTGATAATCTGTTCAGATTTAAATAAAGCTCCCATATATATTTTCGGCCGATTTTATGTAAATGGTGCCCCAAAGTCCTTATATACGTTTCGATTTCCATGGAATTTGGCATATAATACTAGATTGAGTCTAGAATGATGTGTGTAAAATTTCTTGAAAATCGGTTCAAATTTAGATATAGCTCCCATATATATTTTCGTCCGATTTTAGGTAAATAGTGCACCATAGTCCCTATATATCCTTCGATTTGCACGAAATTTGGAACTGTGTACTGTATTGAGTCTAGAATGATGTGTGTAAAATTTCTTGAAAATCTGTTCAGATTTAAATATAGCTCCCATATATATTTTCGGCCAATTTTATGTAAATGGTATACCAAAGCCCCTATATATCTTTCGATTTGCAGGAAATTTAGCATAGCATACTAGATTGAGTCTAGAATGATGTGTGCTAAGTTTCGTGAAAATCGGTTCAGATTTACATATAGCTCCCATATATTTTTTTCGTCCGATTTAATATAAATGGTATATCAAAGTCTCTACATATCTTTCGATTTGCACGAAATTTGGCACAATGTACTGAATTGAGTCTAGAATGATGTGTGCTAAGTGTCGTAAAAATCGGTACAGGTTTAGATATAGCTCCCATATATATGTTCGGCCGATTTAATGTATATGGTCTACTA